ACGTTTGTCTGCGTTGTGGAATCTTCTACTTTTGAATATAATTACAATTCTAAAACTCACTGATTACGAGATATAGGCCTCATCGAAACCTCCTGGAAACCATCATATTGAAATAATGTTAATTACAGTATTTCGCTGCGAATTTGGATATGATATTAATTACGGAACTTTGCTGCAAATTTCGTGTATATGCCGTGCCAGATTTACATATAGGCTTGACAGGCTGTTGCGTATAGGGTCTCGGGTCTAGGAAGCCTTCGGCCAATATGTATAATAACTTTTACACTGAACTGCATACTTAAACATCCGCCATCATACTCGGCTATGCTCAATTGTGTTTAAAACAAACTTTCAACTTCCTCTAGTCGCGAGGGTGTTGAATTAGCAGGAATCCAAGTTAAATAGCTTAGGGCTTCTCTTTATATAAATCTGGCACTGGATATATGTATTGGTTTCTTTAGCACTTTGTTTGGGATCAAAAATTACCCCCCCCCCCCCGCGCATATCATTTAAGATGAAAAAAATTACAGTAATTCTCAAAACGAAACACTTTTAAATCATATAGTAAGTTGTGCATGCCATAACACATTTTACGTCTACATTTTGATTCTGACTTCGATCTTAGGAATAGTACATAATAAAACGATGTAATTATAAAAAGCCCGAAATCCAACACGATATGCAGTTATGGTAAATTTGACATCCAAAAAAGTATATAAATATCTACACTGTTCTCTAATCTATCTGCAAAGTTTGGTGACTCTCTTTAATTAAACCGGGCAAAAATCAAGTAAAAGGGTCATTTGCATGATCAAAATAGAACTTAAATAATATCAATTTGTACAGATCTACCTTAAAAAAAACTATAATAATGAGGAACGGTATTATTCAATAATTCTGAATATACGTGACGTGAAAGGCCTAAAGGTATGAGGTATAGTATAACAATTATAATCCTTAAATACGTTCAACTTCGATTCTATTTCCTTGTCCAGTGTAATTATACTCTCTAAATTGTGACAAGACAATTGGGTAACTAAGCGACAGAAATTGGTGAAAATGAAAAATTAACCCCTTGGAGTCGCATGCGGAACGCAAAATAAATACCCCTCGTTCGTTAATATTGACTATCAAACAATAGATTAACAACCAGCGTATAATAGAGATAACAATATACCTGTAAATCCAACTGAAACCTGAAATGACATCAGATTAATTAAAATAACAATACAGTACTAATGAGTTGCATAAATACAAAACCAAAATGGCTTCGCCGAATTAAATCTATTTAAACTAATCATCAAGGGTAAAAGTAAATGTTAAGCCTCACATAGTTGGAGTCATAAAGTTTTTGATTCGACAAAAGTTAACTGTGTTCTTGGAAATATAGGTCTATTATTACATTTCTAACATTCAGCAACATACTCGGGTACCATGGATATCAAACCCTGTGATAATTAAGAGAACTTTCCGAGACTTTTAATCAAAGTGTGAGTCATTAGAGAGGTGGGTAATATTTTGTTGACATTGGGATGACAAGAAAACTGTCTTCTGTTGTTGCTACATTTGTTTTAAATTTGTGCAATTCCCAGTATATGTGTTATTGGGAAAATTTGCTATGTTCTATTATATAAAACAATCCCGTCGGCCTATCTGAAGAATGTTGCTCAGATATACAAAGGGAAGCAACTATACTTTTTTCAAACATCGATAGTTAACTTGTTTATTCAATTCCTTTACTTTCCAATGGCAGCAGTGGCCGCTCTTTAAGGTTATAAAGTTATACCTCAAATTATATATCAGCCCTTTCGATTAGCATTCCATTGATTCGCCTTTTGAAATCCTGATCCAAACTATCGCTCCAATAAGCAATCAGTAGAGTGGCGGGTTTCGTGCACGAGTCAGCTAGGTAGTTAAAAGAGACACTGAAGTTATTTTTATACTGTTTATATATATAGCTGTCAATTTAGAAGTCATAGAGTACTTGGTATTTTGGAAAATTAGGCGGTTTTAGGTTGTTTTTTTTTTGTATTCTGTTACTCAAAATTAATTACCTATATTTTCTCTTTAACGGGGTAATGTCATACGTTTCTGCCTCTACAAGCTACCTTATATTTTGTGTTATATTTCCCCGTAAGTGTTGAATTACGAAAAGTGTAATTTTGTATTCTGTTACTCAAAATTAATTACCTATATTTTCTCTTTAACGGGGTAATGTCATACGTTTCTGCCTCTACAAGCTACCTTATATTTTGTGTTATATTTCCCCGTAAGTGTTGAATTACGAAAAGTGTAACGGTAAACCAACATTATTAGTGTCTATATTTGATTGAAACGAAATCCAATACGTTTTAAACCGAAAAGAAATCCAAGATGAGCAATATCAACTATACACTCCTCTTGTGTTCTTTTACGAATGGTGTAAAGTTAACCTGCGATTTATTGGTTTGTTTCCTCCTTTTATTTACTGATATTTGGCTAGATTTAATGTGTCTATGTTTGATTAAAACGAATTCAAAATTCTTTTAATATTGAAAAGAAATGATTAACATCAAACACTTATAAATCATATTTAGTTGAATGTAACATAATTCAAAATTCATATATATATATATTATAGGCATAGTAAATGATCAGACATTACTTGAGCGTTCGAAGTGGGTGTAAAATACGAATTTCGAAACATAAAATCGCGAAGTGACTCGAGTATTCAGTATTTGTTGAATAAGTTCCGTTGTATTTTTGTATTTGAATATATACAGGTGAACATCATGCAGGCCCAAGATTTTCCCTTGAAAGTCGAAGAGGTTATTTCCCATTAAGAATTACACCCGAATAGCCTAATCTTTGCGAGGTGATACCCGCTCTCAAACAAATCACTAAAAACTCTACGCGGTTGGAATAGTTCGATGAAATGTTCATTTTCTTTATACTTTAAACAATCCAACAAAGTATTGTAAGATTTCCTCAAGAACTCTTTTCGTAATGTGTTCACAATATTTCATAACTTTGAACGTAAACGGGGAGCTCTCAAACAAATCACTAAAAACTCTACGCGGTTGGAATAGTTCGATGAAATGTTCATTTTCTTTATACTTTAAACAATCCAACAAAGTATTGTAAGATTTCCTAAAGAACTCTTTTCGTAATGTGTTCACAATATTTCATAACTTTGAACGTAAACGGGGAGCTAACTCCTCAATTTGACCTCGAAAAATCTGAAAAATCTATATTTGTTGTTCATTTCTTGCAATGTCTATGTAGTTTGTCTTGTCCGCAGGGTTGTCTGTGATAACTCCTCAAATCCCGTATGAAATTATGTATGGTTCTTCTTAATAACTTAGTGAACAATTCCACCGAGGTTTATACATGTAGTCAAGAACTTTGTCCTGTATCGCGTTAACAATTACGGGGGGATAACTCAGGGATTTGCAAAGGAAATAATTTGAATTTGGGTAGAGCTTTCTTTGGGACCCAAAGGAACAATCCTTATAAATGTAGAATGTTCACAAGAAATTGTGGACGAATGACGGAATGCTAGGCGTAGGTGACGACAAATTATATTAACATTTATTGCTGCTGTACAAAACAAGCGGCTTCAAATTTGCACTGCAATAATACCTTGTCACTGCTTAGTCTCTAGCATTCAGACAAATATTCTACGAATGCCGAGACTAGTCCCTGTCACACATAAGAATTCGATCTCTTATCGCACCATATCTTAATGACGTATGCATGCGCATTTTAGGCAGCGCGTGTGTGGCTAGTTACTTGGAGTGTAGTCACAGACGCAACCATCAATACACTGTTTCAACAATGAATATTCATATGAATATTCATATGCATAGTCCTTCCCAGGGTCGATGCCAAGCTTACCCCCCCCCCTCCCAACCCCGCTACTTAAAAAAAAACAACGAAAAACAAAAATCAACCTTAATATACAGTCTTAGTTTCTCTACCGTTATGCCTTTCAGTGATCTAGTGATCGAGTGAGATCTAGCTACTTCGGACCAGTTGGGTAACATGACGAGGGAAAGAGTCCATCCATAGACAATCTGTTATTTGATAGTGTTCCTATTATGAATCCAACTCACAATTTTTGAGAAAAAAAAGAGCCTTTCGGCCAGTTGTCCAAAGATCCGTTAACTTTTAACGACTCGTTAACATGGAGTTAATGGATCGTTATCTTTAACGGAGAGAAAGTCTGTTGTTGGAGGCCCCGTTAACTTTAACTTGCCGTTAATTTGCTGTTATATGTACCGGAGGTGTTGGGGTCCGTTATCTGTTTAACGATGGCATTCGTCGGATGTCAGTCGAAGTTTACCCCTAGGACAAAATCATAGATTACCAGTGTAATTTTATGTAGAACATTCTAGAGGGTTGGGCTATTCCATTTCCTATAGGATGGAATTCTATATTATTGTACCGAATTTTGGGATCCTTTAGGAAATAATGACCCCAAATATTGTACAGTTTCTGTAGTGCAAATCTCATAATTTTTGCCACAGATTCATGCTAAAATTTCTAAAGGAAAAAAATACAGTGTCTATGTTTTTTTTTACAGTGTTTTCTGTAGTACATTCTACAGTTATCTTTTTGTCTTTAATCAAGTTTTGTGAAAAGACTGCACAGTTATCCCACTGTCTCAAGTTTCTTGTTAATACTAACTTCTATGAAGTTGTTATACCTGACATTAAATTTAAAAATTTAAAATTCAGCCAGTGAACAAACAGTCTTCTCTTGGATTAACTTCAATCAGTCCGTTAGCTAACGTATAATGAAATTGGCTTTCCAGCAACAAAAATTTAACGGACAACTTAACAAACGACACGATAGCAAGATTTTAAAATAACTTTTAATAACTCTTAGCAACCGCCCATGGTCTGATTCCAAAAAACGCTAAAACTAAAGTAGAGCAGTCATAATTGGAGTTAATTCCCTTATCCTGATCTCGCGTGACTTTGAACATGCGTCATCAGGTCGATGAAAATAGAAAACAGAACTGTAAGAGATTAGAGAGGATTGAGAAAAATTGTATCTCATTAGCATGAATCCTTTGCGTGTTTCGGGGTGAACTGAATTACTACAAAGCTGCTAAGGTAACTGGACCGTTTTGTAGGGCATGTTCATCCGAATTATGGGCAATGGCCGTAACTGTAACATGCTTAGTCCGTATAATTTATTTCTGTTTGACTTAGTTTCCGTGTTTACAAAAATTATCACGATCAGTCATATACATGTCGTCATCATCTTCTCATTCACGAAAACTTCTGATTGCATAAGCAGCAAAAGATAACTAACATGTACCTTCACAGTTGTTATCTAACAACATCTCTGTCTATATATCTTCACATAAATTGCTTTTATTCTTATATTATTAGATGTATCACTACTATTGCTCATGCTAAATATTGATCTGGGTCTGTTGTTAGCCATTTTCGTTTTTCCTTGATTATAATGTCTTGAGCGGCTTAATTTTAGTGTTTGTACTATTTGTAGGTTAAATATTCATGGCCTGTCAATTATAATTTAATATTTGATGAGTCTTAACGCTTTATTTTAATCTTATGGCTTTGGTATGCTTTATAATAATATGCTGTATTTGTCAACATGTTAACTTGTGGATAGAGGAGTCAACTCACCTTTGCAAATAGCCCATACTTGATTGATTCAGAGACATAATAATATTAATACACCCCTGGAAGATTGGATACTAAATGAACTCGGCTGCATGACAAAATTTTTACAATTTTGCTAGTAGAAATTGTAGCAGTACATAAAATATTGACAGTTATAATAAGCCACTGATATGACCACTATTTGAGTTGACTAAAGCTATAGAAGGTGACATGTTGACAAGTATTCATGTACATGTATGCTCTTTCTTAAAAGATACATGTACATTATATAAGCAGTGCTTATCATTCTCATGCAATAAATTTAATGCTTAGCTTACACAGTGTGTTGTGGAATTGTCTGACTCTTGCCTGTTTCAAATTTCAGATAGAATCTTTCTGACAGCTGAATTTACAGTGTAAGTAGGCCTACATATGAATGTGGTATGGTAGTGAAATTAGTATTTTAATTAATTTTTGCTTAAACTTGTATACATGTTGTTATTGTTGTTTTTTAACATGTTTTTTTTATAATACCATACGTATATATAAGCTTAGTATTAGACTGGTACAATGTGCATTAAATTATCCATTTCAGTATTATTATTAGATTAATTAGTATAAGTTGGTGTACACATAGGCTAGGATAAAACTTGCATATTGTTAGAATTTATTGAATTGAAATGAAATAAGATCACATTTTTATATGCCCACTGTCACATGGAAATGTGGTCGTATATTATCATCGCCCCCATCCTTACGTAAACACTTTACAGAATACATTTATCATACGATAGATTTACAGAATACGGTACATTTATCATCCGATTGATTTGAAATTTATGTACATGTATGTTGTTTACATTACTGAGATGATCAAGAAGCCTACACATATACATATGTACATGTAATTAATTTTAATACGAACGAAAGTAGTCATAGTCACTGACACCCAGGATGTCCAGGTCTTCATAGCCACTCTTTATCTCTTACAAACTTCAGAAATTTAAACAGAACCCAACCTAGGTACTGATAATATGAATGTGAACCTTAGTGTAAATATTCTATTGTATTGTCTTGAGTAAGATATTCAGTGCAATGGGAGTCAATTTGTATCTGGAATCTAACATGTTTATAGAATGATTCATAAGAAATGGAAGTGTCAAGTATTATATTGTGGAATTGATGCAGCTATTTAAGAATATATATCGTTCTTGATTTCCTACACAACTTACATTATTGTTCTCCAATTTTCTTCAACTGCTAAAGAACTTCACATAATCTTAATTCAAATTCAGAGGATACAAAAGGGAGATTAAGGCCTAATCTACAGCAGATAATGCTTCAGTCATTTTGATAAAAAAAAGTCTTTCCCATATTTAGTGCTGTGCATATTTGAAAATTTAAAAATATAAAAGATGCATGTATATTTGATGTCTCTTGGATTGTGAAGCCACATTATATTCATCTCATCTCGTCAGATAAGATACGAACAGATAAATAATCTTATATAATATTGCTTGTTGTATTGTATTAATTCAGGTTTTGAAATAACCGGTAGTAGAAATTGTCATGAGTTAATTATTGTTATTGTTGAATAACTGAATAGTTGTACAAACAGGAAAATAGATACTTGGTGATTCCTGAATAAATTGATACATGTGGGTACAAGTCACACACTTTATTTATACACTAGCTTAGATCGACAAAGTCTTTTCCTTTCAACTTCAAGCGGGTTATACTCATAGAGAAGGTATTACATGTATGTATTTATTTAATCCACATTCTATTTAGAATGGTCAGTTTATGCTTTGGTGCTCACATTTGTTAAAAGAATTGTGAACTGCTTGATAATAGTACATTTTGGCGTTTTTATTGTTCCCCAAATTTCGAAGAAAGCAGGGGACTATTAAAAATGGGTCTTTGAAGGATCGTCTGTCTGTCTGTCCAATGTGTGTCCGTCCAACTGTTTGGGACACAATAACTCTCCTTCTAATTGAGCTAGAATGTTCAAACTTGGTGTAGGTGTCTTTTCGGTGAATGCCTTGACAGAGTTCGGTCATGCGCATTATCCACCAAGGATAAGCGATTTGATTTGTACAATCTGATTAAAATACAGATCTATGTTTCATTCCATTTTTTTTATACTTTTGATGGGCTACACTACAAGAAGATGTGACTGGTTGTAGTAAAATGTTGTGTCAGAGGTTGTACAAACGGCTTTTGACCCAATGACGTCAGACATTGGTTAATCAATCAGCGTTGACGTTTCTAGTGGTTTACCCACAATTCTGTTCATCGCACGCCAAGAAGTCGTCGTAACAGATGGTTTCATTGCCTAATCCCTTGTGCCATCCAGAACGCAGGTTATATAACAACTCTTCCAGATCCTAGAGTAGTACAGACAAATAAAAACGAAATTTTGAACTACAAAAAACAGAACGAAATAGGATCTGTGTTTTAATCAGATTGTGATTGGTTGAGACTTTGGAACATGATAACTTTGGTTCAAATTGGGTGAGAGCGATGAAACTCCCAAGTATAGATTCATTATCAATACCTTGACCAAGTTCACAGATATGAATTTCTGCTTAGGATAAGTAGCAATAAGCCGTTTGATTGGTCAAGACTTTGGAACATAATAACTCTGCTTTTAATTGAGGCAGAATGTTTAAACTTGATGTAGATGTTTATTAGGTGAACATCTTGACTTGAGTTCAATGATTAAGATTTCCTGCTAAAGCTAAGCAATTTCATTGGTCGATGCTTTGAGGAAAGAGAGAGAGGGAGAGAAATGGGGTTTAACGTCCACTCGACACAAACTAGGTCATTTCTGGACTAACACTTGGTTAAATTTTTTTTAAATAATTCGCTTGCGCGTAAGGGGTCTTTAGCAGTGGGAGGAAACCACGTACAACCGGGGAATCGAAACCCTGCCAGTTGACTCAATGACAGACCGTGTGATACAGATACCCCCCCGCCTCCTTGAGAAAAGATATCTTTGATTCTAACCGTGGAGAGTGATGAAACGTAGTGTATAGTTTCACTACCATGTATGACTGCATTTGATCGTGAAAATTTTATGCTTAAACTAAGTATAGACAATCAGTTTGATTGCTCGATACTTATGAGAAAGATAAATCTGGAATTAATTAATATGTGTCATCTGTTTATATGGGGATTACGGCAGGGGACATCAGTCTCACTGTTGACATGTTAATACATGTTAGTATTATTTATTTATTTGCGGATTGCGGTGGGGGACATCAGCCTCACTGTTGGCTTGTTATTTCTCTGTAAAAGCTACTGTTGTAATTATAGTAAAGTTCTAATACACTCTATTCTTTTGCTGATAACATTTTAATGTGGTGATATTTTAAAACCAATGGTACATGTACAGGGTAGAGACAAGTTATAAGCTTATTATTATTTTCATGGCACATATATCTCATTCATTAAAATATTGTCTTAAATTTGTCAATGATCTGTCACAAATATAGTCCTGAGTTAAATTAGAAATCAACATGCTCTTCCAATGATTCTTTTTAAACCATTGAAATATATTTGATTAACTGATAACAGACTCAATCAATGAAAATAATGCTATTTAATGCAAAAAAAACCCCAAACCCTTTGTGGGTGATGGCATCACCATATTAATTTTGAAAAATTTTATGGTAGCTTTTTCGGAAATGCTGCAAATGCCACTGGCTGAGAGTGTAGTATTCATCGTGACATCCATATTTTTCTGGTACTTCATGTCGTTGTGAAGGATTTCACCACTCATTTTGGATTGCCTGTAATGTTCTGGGATTTTGTAGAGCTCCACTGTCTAATTAAATAGACTTTTTATATTTGAGAGTTTTTGTGAAGATGTGCTTATCCTTATTCCTTGCTGGAACATGTTTAATGTACATGTAGTCACATGAAGGAACAATATTCATATGATGATACAGACAGGTTAAAAAATGAATTGAGTGATTAGCCGGGTAGTGCATTCTACATCGTTACTTTTCAAACATAGTTATTGATTGTACTGATTGTTTTATCTCATATTCCATTCTGGTTCTTGTGAATTAAAGAGTTTTATTGATCTCATTTATCTTACCATCATGCATTAGAATGAACAGTCTAACATACATCTTATATAAATTTGAAATAGGACAATCAAAACTGCACACAATTTGTAAGCAATAAAGTTGCAGCTGATTTAAAAAATCATTAAAATGATCTTTTTACGCATCCATTCCACCCACAGTAAATCATGTAAATGATGTCATTGCCTCAACGTTCTATCAGAGATGGCGCGCAGAAATTTATATTTGGTTAGAATGTTTATTCATGTAGCACAGTTGATCTTTCCTGTTTCACGATTTGATGCATAAAGTTTTTATTCTGATCTAAGGTCATAAAATTTTCATCTTGACCATTTTGTGTTTTAAACTCCACTGATTGACCACCTTTACTTGTTATCAAGCTAAGACTATATTATATAAAGGTGCTTGAGAGTAGAGAACTTTTAATATAAATTGGTTATTTGGTTAAGTTTAGATTAGATTTTTTAGGTAATTATGACATTGATTCCCTAATCCCAATAAATTAAAGTTAATTATTAATACATAATGTCAACAGCAATGTGTCCACAGTTGAAATCTTGGCATGTGCACATACAGAATTGTTCTTGTCATGTTAATGTAAATAATATCAGCTATGTTGAAATTTAACAATTGTCAGAAATGTTTCCCTTGAAGTACATGTATCTGCTCGCCCACATGTACATAATTTGATTTATCTAATCTCATCAGTGATATATTGTTTTTGTTAAAGATTCGTAATGTTAGGGCTTAATCTGCCTATTGCAGGTCTCTCCCATATTGTTTTTTTTAAACATGCATTATAGAAGAGCTTAATCTGTCCAGTATGGTTGTTAATCATTGTTATGATAAACAATCTAAACAATCTGCGCTACATCTTCCAACACCCATACATGTAACTTCCCTCAGAATAAAGTAATTTGAATGAAATGTTTAATTCATTTTTCATTATCTGTATAGCAAAAAGGACCAGCTCTTTATCTAAATCTTACGTATTGCATCTTTTACTAATATATTTTCTTGGTAGTTTTGATATCTTTTTCACCCAATTGGTGTGTTTTTAGAATGAGGACTGTCAAGGAAATATATATTTTTAAATGTTTATGATTTACCAATTTTTATCCTTATAACTTTAACAGTATAGATAGAGACATGTATTGACTATTGATTTGATAGTCTCTGGTGTTCCATGTAAATACACACATTATGTACATTTTGTTCTAAATGGGATGTCATATGGTGTATATTAATGAATGGCATGTTTTCTGTATTGAGAGAGTAGAGACAGTATGAAACATGTGAAAACATGATCAATAATCGTGAAT